CTCACCTGTTTACCCGCTCACCTGTTTGAATCTTTGTTGTTTTCTGTGTTTGACCGGCAGCCAACGTTCGGTTACATCATGCGTGAAGACCTGGAGAAGTTCAACTTCAGCTTCGACGCCTTCTTTGGAAATCCTAAAGCCATGACGGCTGGGGTCAGAGTTCACTTCACTGCCTGCAAGGAGAAGGTGAGGCGCCGGCTCGCCGCCTGTTAGTCGCGCGATGCGGATGAGTTCTCTCTGTAAACCTGGTCTTCTGTCACTTCCTGTTTCTGAGCAGAACAGCTCGATAGCGACTGACGTGAAGGTGGCGCCGGGCGGGACCGAGAACCTGGACCCTGAGATCTACGAGGCCGTTGTCTGTCAGCCAATCGTGGAGCCTCAGGTGAGTTCGAGAACCAGCGCTGCTTTGTTTAGTTATTGCATTATTGAAAGCTTTTTCCTCGGGGCTGGACGCATTGTTTCTGACGGAGACCTGATCCGTCCTGGTCGCTCTCTCTGAGCTCCTCCCTCCTGACTGTCTGTTTTAGTTCAGACCCGCTGGTAAAGGTGGAGGTCTAGCCTCGGTTATTAAACATCAAGTGCGGCCTCTGCCCTCCCCTACCCCAGTTTTGAAGTTCAACTTTTGGAGCCGGCCTCCCCCCCCCACAATATGTTTGGTCTACCGACCACCGAAATACAATAAGACTTTTATTGCTGACTTTTAGGATAAGCTCTGGCTGTGCTCTTATCATTGGTGATTTGAATACTCGTATCTGCTGTAAGGACGATCCGCTCGCCAAGGATTTTCTCGCTCTTATTGACTCTTTTAGCCTGTTTCAGTGGGTAAATGAACCTACACATAATAAAGGCCTTGATTTGGGTCTTTCGTGTGGCCTGGATGTTTGTATTAAGAACATTGACATACTGGGATTTCGGACCCTTTCCCAGTTATGTTTGAAGGTGACCTATGCAAATCAAAGCTACACTATGACGGCCCCGACGCCTGGTGCGTATAATCAACCCGATACCGTGGCTAACTTCTCTGCAGCATCTGTAACTGACTGTTCTGTATCTCTTATGACTGTGATTATGCTAATTCTCTGATATCTACATGCTCTCATAACCTTGAGGCTGTTGCTGTTAAGGTGAAATGTCCCAGAACTCACTCTCAAATTTGGCTAAATGACAGCATGCCTTATGTCGTGCTTTTCGCCAAGCCGAGAGGGGATGGAAGAAAGACAGGCTCCAAGTTTCCTTTGACATACTATGTATGAGCCGCTCAGAATTTCAAAATGGCACAAAAATGGCTAAATCAGCTTTTCTATCGGACATTATTGCTACCAGTACTCACAACCCCCTTATGTTATTTAAAATCTTTAATTCAGTGGTAAATCCTTGTCCCAAAGTGCCGTGGGCGCCCCCCAACTCTCTGTTGTGTTTTTAGTTTATTCAGATTCAGGTTTTATTCAGTAAGACCAGAAAACTGTAACAAAGAGATTAAATGATTAAATGTTTTAGCTCCTTTTTAAAGCTTTTTCGTGTCTCTGTTTCTACTTCCTCTCCTCCACGTTTCCACGTGCCGTTGCCGTGCAGCCCGGCGAGCGTCAGTACCCAGGTCAGGTGTACGTGACCATCGGGCCCGTGAGGAGGAACCTGCCTTTCGACAGGAAGGACAGCACGGTGACGCTGCTGAAGAACGACCAGGTGCTCATCAACCTGCTGACCGACATCATCACAGAGAAGACCAGAGCCACCAACATCAAGCCCAAAATCCCAGCGACCTTCAGCCACACCAAGGAGATCCGAGAGAAGGTCAGGCCAATCCTCCTGGCGGTGCTCGTGCGGTGAAACCTGTCTATGCTCAAATGAGAAATGTCTGATTGCTCGTGTTCTCGCTTCTCTGTCTGATGGTTTTACTCTTTCCGCTCGTCTGCGGGCGGCAGGGCGTCATCGTCAGCCTGAAGGATACAGAAGGCGTCATCAAGAGGCAGGACGACACGGAGCTCGCCTTTGAAACCAAAGAGAACTTCAGCGACGTCGAGTTCACGCAGGAGGACATCAACGAGGAGGTGGAGTTTACCATCATCCAGGTGAGGCCGTTAGCTGAGAGTGGCCGTCGGCGCCATTGACCGGACTGTTTCAAACATTTCTCTGCTCTTACCGTCAGCTGAGAGCGGGAAAACGAGCCGTCAGGATCCAGCGGGTGAAGGAGCCCCTCCTCTTGGCCCTTTGCACCGCCACTGCTGCCGCCGGCGGCGACGAGGAGGATAAGACAGAAAACAGCAAAGACTGCTTCACCAAGCCAATCAGAACCAGGACCAAGCAGGAGATCGGACCCAACATGGTGCTGGACACGGAGCTGTACGAGGGCATTGTCAGCCAGACGATCATCGAACCCAAGGTGACCCTGAACTCAAACGTTAACCATTTTAAAATGAGACAAACGGGAGACCAAGGAGACGCTAACTAATGTTTTATTGTTATTGACGGAGCCCCGCAGGGGACATGGGAGAAAAAAAATTAAGACGGACTTTTGCGAGGTCTCGCAAAAGTTGAATTCCAACAATGGCGGCAGCTACTTGGTTGTAATTTTCCTCTTTCTGGGTCACAAAATACACTTTTAAGATATTTTGAGGCGTGAATGTAGTTGTGTAAACGTCAGATACCTGCTCGGTTTACAAGACATCACATATTTGCAAAAGTGCTCCGACGTTTTCGGAGATCTGACACCCACTAGCTCGAAGCTAACGGGAGGTCGAGACCTACTACAGCCGGGAGGAACACCGCTTTCCCGGCACGTCGTGCCTCGACCTCCCGGTCGGCTTCGAGCTGGCGGCCTCTGAAGAATGCGGCTAAAACTTTTGCGAGATCTCGCAAAACAAACTCGGGATCTCACAAAAGTCGGTCTTAATTTTTTTTTTCTCCCATGTCCCCTGCGGGGCTCCGTGCTAATTGACTTCAAACAGTGTTAAATGAAAATTATTAACATCTTCACTCGGCAACATCCAATCAGAGTCCCAGAATCTCACTGTGGAGCCAAACTCTTGCTCCAAACTCTTGCCCCCTCAGACAGTCTGTTAGTACAGTGACCTCATTAAAATGGCTCCAACAGCACAAACACGCCCCACAGGTCCAGTTCAGGTGAAGCATCCACCTGTCGGTCAAACAGGCCACGCCCCTAATCATGCAAAACTGTAAGACTCAATTTAAACGGGTGAGCTATAGAAGCGGTCGTTACACAGAGCAGACTTTAAGCTTATGTTTATTTAATAAGCTCCTCTCCCACGCCTCCAGTCCGGCACGCCTGGTTACCCAGGCCAGGTCCACGCCAACATCGGCACCGTCAGGACCAACGTGACCTTCGACGATCGAGACTGTGGCGTCACGCTTCTGAAGAACGACCATGTGCTGATCAACCTGCTGATCGACACGGTGACGAGGAAGAGGAGAGCGGCCAACATCAAACCCAAAGTCCCGTTCACCTTCAAATACACCAAAGAGGAGCGAGAGCTGGTAACGCAGCACGCACACTGATGACCCGCCTCCTCTGTTCTGCTTCTGGTCTCTCAAGAGCCGCTGTCTTTCAGGGCATCATCACCTCGCTGGGGCCAGAGGTCGGCGTCCTAAAGTCGGAGAAGCACGGCGAGCTTCCCTTTGACGTTTGCGAGAACTTCAGCGATACAGAGTTCAACGGTGACGACGTCCAGAAAGAGGTGGAGTTCACGACCGTCCAGGTGAGTGCGCAAACCAAACGGGAGCGAGCTGCAGAGAGGGGGTGGGTTTGATCCATCGCTTTGTCTCCACAGGTGAAATCGAACACAAGGGCCATCAGGCTGAGGAGGACGAAGAAGATCGAGGACCCGATCCTATACGAGCAGAAGAAACGGGATGAAGAGGAGAGGAAGAAAGAGGAGGAAGAAAGGAAGAAGAGGAAGGAGGAAAAGAGCAAGAAGAGAGAGGAGGAGGAGAGGGAGCTGGAGCGGAAGAAGAAGGAGGAGGTGGCTGCAGCGCTGGCAGCTGCCAAAGACAAGGTGAGGAAAGAGTCGCTCGGGTTGTTCGAGGCGCCGAGTTCAGGCTGCGACGCCACACAACAGCCAACAGAGGGCGCCCCACGCCACCAGCTCAACAATAATATCATTAGCATTGCAAAGTGGGCGGGTCCTGAGCATTCAAGCCACTAATGGTTGTTGAATGAAATCAGGGAGTCATGACTCACCAATCAGAGCTTCTTATTGTTGTGCATTAAAGTTAGAGTGCATTAAACTGTTTTTTTTGACTGTGTCCGTTTATCTTCACAAAAACATCACGAGCCACAAATGTAAAACTCGCTGTCCTGCTGACATTCTGCAGTGGACGCCGCTCGGCTTCACAATGCGAGACCCCGACACGCTGGATGACATCAGCAAGGAGCGATTTGAAGGCACCATCCTCAAATCAATTCCCAGACACCCTCCCAAGACAATAAAGAAGGAGCTCGAGGAGAAAGAGGAGGCGACTGAGGAGGAGCAAGGAGCTGCCGATGCTGGACAGGTACAACCTCAAAAGCTCTGTGGAAACTGCAATTTCCCTGAAAAACGAAAAGAAAACACTCAGTTTGTTGTTTTCTTTCAGGTGCAAATAAAAGTGGAGAAAATGGAGGAGGGAGAGAAGGGAGAGGTGCAGGGAGGACAGGAGGTAACGCTGGAGCTGAAGAAGGAGAAGACATGTGAGGAGGTAACGAAGGAAAAGCCTCCTGAAGCTGAAGTCAAAACCAAACTGGACGTAGATGTGGGCCGGCTGGTGATGACCATCGACGGCCAACAGAAACAGCTGACCTTTGGCCCCAAAGACCTCCTGACCACTGCCACCATGCTCGATGGTGACAAGGTGAGGATGCTGGACTTTCTTCTTCTATGTTTCAGACCAGTCAAATAAGGTCTCAGTGTTCAGCATCTGCAGAACGTTTGCTTCTTTTGAACCTGAACTGTGTCTCGCCTGCACAGGTGCGCTTTAACATCGCAACCCATCGGGAGACCAAAGAGGAGCGGGCGACTTGCGTGGAAATTCTCCACGACTCCTTCGAAGAATCTACTGAACAGCGTCAGCACGTAAGACTTGACGTCCGTTACTCCCAGCCTCAGAGTCAAAAACAGAACGAGGCCTCAGTTTGGTTCTCAGGGTCTGAGTCCAGGTCTGCTTTTCCAACCAGGGCATCGTGATCGAGTTCTTGGAGGACTCCGGGCTCATCAAGTGCACTCAGAACCCCCAGCTCTACTTCCACATGTCCGAGGTGATCGAGAAGAAGAAGCTGGAGTTGAACGAGAAGGTTGAGTTTAGCATCGTCCTGGTGAGTCCCCTTGCTGGGTTCTCGGGGTGGAGGGAAAGGTTACCGGATGTCAGGTAAACTCTAGAGGAGGGTCCAAACATTTCTAAATGAACTACCACAAGGTGATCTGTGGAGGTCACACGAGAAGCACACGAACTGCTCTTACTGAAAAATAGTTGGCTGCCTTTCCGGTGAATCCCTCATCTCACGGACAGACTCCGCCTCCAGCTGGTCCAGGCTCTTCCTGGAAAGCCTCCGTGGTGTGCCGAGTAGAACGAGGACTACTAGCTGCAGAGGAGGCGGAGTTTATCCAACCAGTGGATCAGGGATCCACTTGAGAGGCAGCTAAATGATGTTCCGGAACAACTCGTCAAACTGCTGGCAGAGAAACAAGACAGGAAGTGCTGAGGCTTTCTGGTTGGTAGCAACCGAACTTTTAAAATGAAATGAGGGGAACGTCTTCAAGAACATCTTGTTTTCATCTGTTTAGTCCAGTCTCTGTTTTTTCTCTTGATGTTGGTGTTAGATTTAACGCTTCAAGCTTAAACGTGAGGAAATCACACGTTTGGACGCGCCTGGTGACATTTCCGATTAAAATGATGTCTGTCATTTCTTTCAAGCATGAAACAGCAGACGGGGGAGTCCAGGCCATCAGGATAAAACGTTACACAGAGAGCGTTTTCCTCCCAGTGAGGAAACTTGGTGGTGTCGGTGCAAACAAAGGAAAGGTGAGGATGACCTGATTCATGTTTACATTAGTCCAGTGTGGAGGTGCATGGTGAGCAAACTCTCACTAGTTCTGTTGGTAATTTATGCCATCGTTTTTATGGAGTCTTCCAAACTTTCCTTCAAACTGTAAGAAATCTTTTGCGAAGAATGCAAAATCATCATCATTCTAATGAATTTGTCATAACTCTTTTTTTGGCAGATGACCATCAAGCTGACAAAAGCTACCGGAGAGTAAGTTATACATTCAAAATGTTACCACTCTTCATGTAAATACATTTGGCTCTGAATAAATGCCATATTTCTTTTTGTATCTCGGAAAAGTTGTAAAACTTATTAAGAACAACCTCCCCGTAACTTCCTCAGGAAGGAAAAACCAGAGGCAGAGAAGCTGAAGGCAGTGGTGAAAAATCTCAGAGCACAGGACAGTAAGACTAACAAGAAGGATTACAGTGCCACGAGGCGTAGATACAGCAGGAGTCAGAGCAGGAGTCGGAGTAGAAGTCCCCCCAGAGACCAGTTTGGACGTATCAAAAAGAGACGCAGCTCCAGCGCCGACCGTGAACACCGGAGCAGCAGGCACAGGCGAAGCCGAGAGAGATTACACAAGCGCACCCGAAGCCGCTCCAAGAGCAGGAGTCGCAGCCGGAGCAAGAGCTCCAGCAGGAGCCGAAGCAGGAGCAGGGAGAGGAGCAAAGACCGGGCCAGCAAGAGAAGGAGTAAAACAAACAGAGACCATGAAGAAAGTCACAAGAAGAGGAGGGAACTGAGCCCTCCTCCTAGGCGAGGTGGAATTGTGGATGACGAGCTGGCGAGGAAGAAGCGGGAACTGGAGGAGCTGAATGAAATGATCGCCTACAAAAAGTCGCTGGTGGACATTGACCCAAGAGGACTCGAGCCTGGACAGAGGACCTGCATTGACTACGACCACGGTAGGATCGCCGTTCCCCTCGCCGAGTACAAACCGGTCCGTTCCATCTTAAAGAAACGACCAGATGGACCAGAATATCTCCACCGTCCTCCTTACGACGATGTTTATTATGACCGCCCATATAGTGCTTACCAAGACAGGTGCTACAGTGACCCCTACGGGGACTCGTATGCCACTCGGCCACACACACATCCGTATGGTGACCGTCCATACAGTGACCGCTCTTACGAAAGTCACCTCTATAGTGAATCTCCCTATGGTGGCCCGCCATCTACCAGCCGCCGCTACACTGATCGATACGATGTTTATGATGAACCCTACGATGATCGCTACTATGACCCGGCGTATGTGGACCGACCTTACGATCCATATCCCCCAGACAAACGAAGCCACTCTCCAGAACCTCGTGGCCCCTCGCCCCCTTCTCACGGTGGCAAAGCTCACACAGCTTCGACTCACCCGCCTTTGTCCCATAGTGCTGCCACATCCTCATGCCAGACCTCATTCAGACCCCCTTCGCCCATAGACTCACCTCCTAGAAGCCCCTCTCCCAAACTAAAGGAGAAGAAGTCACGCTTGTCTCCTCCAACTGAGAAACCACCCCTGGACCGTTTTCTTGATATGCTTAACCGAAAGGTGGATGCTGAAAAGAATTTGGGACCAGTTCATGTTAATGATGACCTTCTGCCTCATGAGCGGGCTCTTCAGGATGGTAAGGGTTTCTCTCGAATTGTGGGGCTGGCTCAAGAGCCACCAAGCATTAGTCTAGCCCAAGAAGGGCAGAAGAGACCACCGAGCCCTAAACGTTCCTCTGTTGAGAAAACAAATGAGGATCCAAAGACAGAACCCTATGATAAGATCCAGAGTCTACTTCGTACTATTGGCTTGAAGCTGAGTACAGGAGAGGTCTCTAAACTAGCCAGCCAAGCCCAGGAGAAAGTCTTTAGCCCGAGATCTTCCACAGAGAGAGCGACTTCATCGGCTCCACGGGAAGAACTGCGGACAACCAGAACTGGTTCCCTGGAATCGGATCGCATCCATTCCCCCTCGCCTGTCAGATCCTCCAGTTTGGAGCCGCTCGGCAGACAGAAAACTAACGTGTCTGAATATGAAGAGTTCCTGGACCAGCAAGAGTTAGAAGCATTTAAGAAGGCACAACAGCTACAGAGTCTTACCAAAACGATGGGGAGCACAGCCACCACCACTCCTTCTCCAAAACCCCCTCCTGGGCCTCCACCTGCTCACTACCGACATCCAACACCACCATTCAACTGGCCACTTGGCGTCACCGCTGAGATTTTGCCAACGCAGACGTCCACATCCAGCATGGTCACTCAAACTTCTCCTGCAGCTGGTACACAATTCCAAACACTGGGACAACCTCCTGGACCTCCACCTGGACCCCCTCCACGGCGGCCAGGACAGCCTCCTCCGGGACCGCCTCCTGGACCTCCACCACGACGTCATCCTGGACAGCCTCCTTTCTCTCCACCCTCCAATCAATCAGTCTTGCCTTTTATTGAAGTGCCAGACACAGCACCTCCCCTTGGGACCACCAGTCCTACGCAACCTTTAACCACTACTGTGGTACTACCACCGTCATCAACACTGACATCTTCAAGTCCTGCAAGCACTGACCACTCTGCTATCTCTACAACAGTGGCGAGATGCCTGAAGGTCATTGAGACTGTGAAATCTCTAGCTGTTCAGTCACCAGCCAAACCAGTCAAATCTGTCCAGTTCAGTTTACCCACAGAGCCCCCATTAGTAGAGACAGAAGATGACATAAAGCTCAAGCAGAAGGAGAAGGTAGGGTTCAGCACTACTAGACTATCAGATATTTTACTGCACAAGACATAAAACAAATGTACTGCAGAACATCTGTTTTTTGGATTGGTTCTTTCCTTAGATCGTATGTTTCCGGATAACTTGTGCACTTGAGAGTTAGAAACCCAGGAAATGTTAAAAGAATGATAAGATCAACTGCATCATGGTGGAAGTCTTGACACAAGGTATTTATATTCATGTTGCAGCTGGATTTGTACAACCAGAGACTTTTGGAAAAGAGAGAACAGGAGTTCAAGGAGATGCTAGCCCGTAAGAAGCAAGGGGAGACCAGTAAGGATGGCTTGCTGATCTCGTCAGGTATCAGAACCTCTGTTTTTACAATAAGATATTTCATCCTAACTAGAAACCTTTTACTTGCAGGTATTTGAATGACAAATATATTTTCCACTGAATACAATGTATATTATTTTCATGGTTTCTTTTTATTTCACTTGACAGGTACTTTGAGTATTCAAAAAACAAAAAAACAAAAGCAGGTTTTAGTGAGAAGCCCAGCCACGTGGTAAAACATTCAGAAGATAACATCAAGGAAGTATTGCTTTGCTTTCTCTGAAATTGAAAACATGTAACTACCCAAGCCTAGTTAGCCAGGTACGCCCTATTGGAGAGAGACCTATCTATTGCTAAGATAGGGTCACGTCTCTCCACCTAGGTGGCCCTGCCATCTTATAGATTCCTACACAGTAGAGTCAGATATATATGTATATGTGTATATACCACCCCAGCTTTGACACCATTAACTCCTCTAAAAGGCATCATAGACATTGCAATGCTACAATTGTGTGTTCTTCTGCTCCCGTTTACTGAGTCTGGTGGTTCATCCAATGATCGAGAGAAGCCACCAGCTGCGATCTGAATTCCACAAAATAATGCGTTTGGTCTCTTCCATTGGAATATAGACTTTGTTTTGAGTGTAATTACACTGTATGACCAAACATTCAGTACCAGTCCAGAACCTGACAGTTTTTAGCATCAACCCACAGTGATAACTAGACAGGTAGGCAGAGTGATCATGTTTTGGAAAGCTAGCACCATATTCAGCTTAAATTTACTTGCACTCAGTGGTCATTCATACCTACATGTAATTCAGAAGGTATATTCTTTTGCTAAATGGTATTTGCTGACTGCTTGTATGCTGGTTCTCTGGGTCGTCCTAAATAAAGGTCTATAATAATTTTGGATGAAGGATCACATCTCCAATCCAAAGAGGGAATTCCAGGAGACAGTAAAGACAAATCCTGATTTGAGCCCCAAAGAGCCAGTAGATCCTGTGTCGGGCCTCTCAGCCTCAACACAGTACCAGATACTGAGAGGTGTACTGACATTGTGACCACTGAGTGTAAACACTGAACAGCTAGTATAATATCCCATTTCTAAGCTTTGAATGGTTTTATGTTTTTCCTGATACCTGCTTTCATTTAATAAACTCAGTACGTTGATTCAGCTCACCAGGAGGAAGACCATGATAAAGACCATCCCAAAATTCATAGATTGACTCATTCCTATCTATATTTGGTTGGTTGCTCTGTCTTATCAAAATCTTGGGTAGCTACTATTCTTATCTTTATTAAGTCTAAAATTCAAGGTTAAGTAGTCCAGGTCTCAGTCTTATCAGAACTGCCTAGATCCAAGATCTAGGGTTGTATCATAATGAGGGAGCGTCAGTTCAGGAATAAGTTCAGCGTACATGAATTAGTGTTGAACGAAAGTGATCCAGCCCCGTACTCTGAGCCCCGTCTGCCCAAATGCATGCGATGCTAAGAGGTTGTCTAGAGCTGTCATTTTGTGTGTAGTTAGCCGTTATACAGCTAACGTTAGGTATATATCAGCCATCTATGCATGTTACTGATATATACTGTCCGAGATTAAGGATGTCAAAATGGACATTTGACTGAAGTGAGAAAATGTTTTTCTGCAGATAGTGTTAGAAACTATGTCAGCTGTAGCTCATTAACGATGACAGTACCTTAAACACAGCAGAGCTCAGACTGTGTCCATTTTCGCATTGGAAGTATTTTGGAAATGCTAAGCTACAGGTTCTTATGAACTCTGCTCTCTTAAGCCAAAATGTCTCGCGGTCACGAATGCTTTGCCATCTTTTAATGAGCGTTTGTTCCATCTTGAAACAGCTTCTTTTCTGATTGTTTTAAGCGGTAATTATAATTTGGTTGATTATTGCTAACAAGTCCACTTTTCTAGGCATTTAGTCTTTAGTTTTTACATAATTGTTTGCACAAGATTTTTTTGTGTTTTATTTGAAGTTCTTGAGTCCAGTCCTAATGAAATACTCAGGGTAAGTCAAGTTTGCTCATTTCCATTTGCATCGAACTGAAAAGTGTGCAGAAGAAGATCCAGGAGACTACTCGTAATCCGGGCACCAACAAGTAAAGCCTTCCTTATTCATTTACAGTAAAAGGAACTCGGGAATAGTTATTTTTACCAGCCAGGTGTAATACTTAACTGGAAGAGCTCCTGAATCAGGAAAGCTTCCTTGAGAAGGTTGTTTAATTCCACCGCAGGTAAAAATGTTTGGTTATCTAATATTTTATAACTAATTTGGTATCTAATGAGAGATAAGAGAGGTTACTCATTAAGGATATGACTTTTGTTCCAGAGTAGACTTGTTTGGACTGCTAACTACATTATTTCACATCTGCTTGATTTCAGTCTTAGATACAAGATTTTGTGTTTTATAGGCTTCTTTGAATGTCACAAAAGAGTAGCAAGTATGATGAAGAGCATTGTGTCCAGATAAATTTGTCCTTTTTCATTTGGAAAATTTACTCCAGCTATATAATGTCTGTATTAATCTCATTAGATTACCCATCTTGTTACCATAGGCTTCATTACGCAGGTGTCATTAGCTTGAAGTGGACCTATTCTGCTAATTTCCAGCTCTGTATTTGTATCCTGTGACTAAGTCTTTATACTCGCCTGAAGAGCTCCTGCCTCTTGAAGGCCACCTTATATAAAAGCCACTTTGTCCTGATTGGCTGTCTCCTGAAAGAAGACAAAACATAAAGTGACGGTTCAGTCAGAGTTTTTGGATGACTTTTAGTTAGACTTATAACATTATGTGAAAGTTAGTCACATTTAATAAGAACATCAGTTATATATTCTGATATGGAGTAGCAGAATGGGTCCACTGCCCTCAGTACAAATATCGCTTCTGATCATAGAATACTTTTAAAACTTGTTTAAGGCAGCATAGCATTGTGTTTCAGTTTAAGAGATTTAAATCATCCTTTATATAAAATGTGCAAAGTTTTTGTTTTGGGTTTTTTTTTGGGAGGGGGGTTGTTTAACTTAATCACATGGTTGGGATTGTACCTGTTGTTCTGTGACACTGGCCTCAGCTAGAGATCACCGTTTCTTTGGTAGAGCATCAGTATCAATGTAGCACAATCTGATACTGTTATGTTTGAATGTAAAATTAGATTTCAAGAGTTGTAAAACCAATATTTTAAGCCATCCAGCTTTTGCTATATGATAGGGACGTTTTACTTTTCTTGCTTGTCTTACCGGTAATACCAATGTTAGCTCAGAAAGCTAACAGAGAACTCCTTTTGAAGCTGGGACTGACGCACTGCTGATAATCCTGCCTGATGGTCGTATAGATATCTTTATCCGCACCTTTTGGGTTCTGTATTTATTTTCTGTGCCACAAACATGGCCGTGTCACAGGAAGTGGTTGAACTTCAAACCTTTGGACTTCCATCTTCCAAACGGCAGTAGGTCGTCTGTCACAGCTCACACTTTGACGCATTTACATCCAGTGTGACTCCACACACAACAGGTCTCATCTCTGCCTTTAAACATGTGCTCAGGTAACTTCTATTCACGTTGCAGACCTGTGAGGTTTCACAGGTTGGACTTCCAGTTTAGACCAGTTTGGTTTAGATGTCAGTGAAATAATGAGGTCCAATATGGAATTGGGAAATGGAAATGGAAATAAAATCTCTCAAATAATCCAACAACAGGGCATAATGTGAACAGAGGGTTATACTAGATAGGCCTACGCCTTGCACTTTCTAAAGACCTGATCCACACTTAAATGACTCTTTCTTTGGATCCACCCCCTCACTAACTTCATCTTTGTAGTTTGAAGGTATTCTCAATGACTAAATCCCACACTCTAGTCAAGCTGTTAAATATTCACCAGTAGTTTCAGTAGTAATGATCAGATGTAAATGCGTGCCCCGATGATACAAAAGAATGGGCCACTTTAAGGCCATTTTGAAGCCTTGGACACTGCCTGCAGATTCAGCCATTAGTGTTCCATGTGGAGAGCAGAAGAACTTCATACTGGCTGAAATGTGATCTCCAATAGAGATTTCAGCTTTGTTTAAACGTGTCACCATTGTTGGTTGGATTGTAAATGATTAAAAGTTTATGGAAAGAGAATTTTTCTCCCAGATATTGTTTCGGTTACCTGGCTATGACTGGACTGTGCTATAAGCCCTGAAACACTGGCCGTCACCCCCAGTGACAGTCAAGCGAGTGTAGTTGGGGTTCCACATTCCCATTCGTCCGCCCTCGTTGGGCTTTTTTGAGCTTAAGCTCCATTTCCTTTCCCCACATGAAATATTGGTCTCTGAAGCAACCTCGGAGTAAAACGGCCTTAGAATGAAGCTGATAATGAGGTTAAGCAGTATAATTAGTGTTCTTTGTGCATCAGTATTATCTGTAAAAATGAAATGTTTAAGAAATGGGATGTTATTTGGGACTGAGTTATTAGCTAGGGATATAAAAGCTGCTACAGCAACGGTCGCAAACAGCTTGGCATACATTCGATTTTAGGTTTAAAATAAAAACACCGCAGATTTATTTAATATCTTGATGGCGAAGGTAGGTAATCATTTTGGTCTCTTGATTAATCAGGCTGATAGTTTTGATTGCTGTAATATAGTCAAAAGTACATTTTTAAAATATAAACCTATCAAAGTCATGAGTCTGAACATGTAGATACTAATTTATCACAAACCTGTAAACGGTAGGTTTTCTTTTGGCTTAACACTTAACTTTCCTGAAATGGTAATTATCACTTCAGTAATTTATATAGTCACTGATGTATTGAGCTAGAAAGCTTCAGCAAATACGACAAAGAAAAGGTTTAATTATGCACCAAGTAAGCACAATGAAGCAAAATGGAACCTCATCTGCAAATGAAGTTGAGAGGGTGAATATTGCACAGATAATCCTATGTGATGTCACCTGTATTAAGGTTGCTTGTTTCACAAAGGTCGATGGACCTTTAATTCAGCTGTCAGCCGTCACAAATGTCCAAGCACTGCAAATCTCTTCTGGATATTTTAAAATTATAATTTTGCGCTAATTAAAGTTGACCTGATGCTTTGGTCTAAAAGAACTTTGTGAAACCAGCTTGAAGACGGAGTAGTCTTAGCTTTGGGATTGATGCTAAATGTGATGTGGGTTCAGCTTGTGAAGATGTTCCATAAGGCTCTGGCACTTACAAGTATATCCTGTTGAAATTTCCAGGTAAACAAGTCAGCAGTGAGCCCAGGAATGTTTGGATCGTCGGTCATTCGCTGGTTTATTGGGCCGAGTCGCGTGCCAAGTCTCCGGAGGTAGGTATGCAGCTGGGCATGGACCCCGGCAAGGTGACCGTCTGGTGGAAGGGCACCCAGGGCATGACATGGTCTCAGCTGCTGCCGCAGCTCCACCAGCTGAAGGTCACCTGGCCCAACCCAGATGTCCTTATCCTGCACCTGGGGGGGAATGACCTGAGCACCGACAGCCCCACAGACCTGCTAGCCTCCGTCAAGAAGGACTTGACGTCTATGAGGAGCATCTTCCCACAGTGCGTCCTTGTGTGGTCCAATATCCTCCCTCGAAGGGTGTGGCGCCACTCAGTGGACAGCCACGAGGTCGATTTGGTCCGCACTACGGTAAATCGCCGGATCCAAAATATCATCTCAGAGTTGGGCGGCACCTCTCTGACCCACGATAACATCCGCTGTGGCGCAAACACAGGTCTTTACCGGGTCGATGGTGTCCACCTTTCCCAAAAGGGCATCGATGTTTTCAATTTGAACCTGCAGGACCTCCTGGAGAAGTGGGAGATGGAGGTGAACGCAGCCTCTGAGAAGAGCTGAGAGGTTTCACATTCACTTCTTTCTTTTTTTTAGGTTTATTTCTGAGGATAGCTAGGCAGTTTTTCACTGACTCTGTAGCTGCACAGGCCACCTCCTGACTAATGAAACTGTTTTAGCTTACTGTGTAGCATATCTCACATCTTATGGTAATAATAAATTCACTGTATTCTTGAATGTCAGCTCATTTTCAGCCATTACGACTTAATGTTATGCAGCAGGTATGCAGAGACATTTTTCTCATGCATGGAGCTGTTAAACCTACATTTGATTTAAGCAAAAAGCATGTTCATGATTTAAACTGCTTTGTGTTTTTGTTCTGAAAATTAAATAAACACTGATTCAGTCTGGTCTTTGTGATACATGTCTCGTCTAAAACGATGATCTGTGAATATGTGGGAGCTGTCAGAAGCTTCGGTGACATCTTCATCCGCAATATTATCAGAGCGGAGGATGGAGAAGAACCATTTTGTCATTAATAATTATTACTCATTGTACCCAATGTAGATGAAGGCCGGCATTCACATCTGGTCTTTGATAACTGAGACAGAAATGAAAGGATGCTGATTGTTTCAGTCAGAGAAGCATTAAAGAAACCTGAATCAGAGTATCTGTCATATAAGTTACTGCTTTGTTCCAAGTGTAAAACAGCTTTTTTTCACCTGTTCTTGTTTTGTTTTCTCTTCAATGTCTTTGTTTAAAGGTCAAAGCTGCTCTGAATCAGGTGACTGTGGGCGGGACTTCCTGTGTGAACGGTTGTGGTTTCAGACAGTGAATTAAACAGAAATTAGTAGTTTTGTTTTGCTTTTTAAAAAAAGGTCCTTTCATCTGGGACGACCTTAAAACAATCAAATCTGTTTAAAAAGTTTTTTTCATGTCATTGTGAGAATTTCAAGCTCAAAGGTCATAGGTCAGAGCAGTGTGACCCTCTGAAGGTGCTGCTGGGCTCCTGATGCATGTTTATTGATAGGTGACCGTAAGTAATGATAATTTATTGGTTAGTGCTCGTGGAGCAAGCTGTGCAACATTTAGGAGCAGGGATGTCCTGTGGAGGTCGAATTCTACATAACACACCTGTGAAAACAGTAAGGTAGGTTAATGTGTGTGTTTTTCCTGTGCAGCCACAGAAGCTCTGAAAAGTGATCGCTTTCATTTAATGAACACGTCTATCCTTTCATTTCAGCTTCCTGTTCATTCTGATCTATTCATATGTTGAGTTGGAAAGTGAGAGTTTGGTCTTTAAATGTTCCATTTAAGCAGTTTGTAACTGAAGATGGTCTCTTATCACCTGCTCAGGAAAGAGAACAAAGCCAAAAACATATTTATGCACATTGAGAGGTCACTGATACCCAAATAGTCCTTGTTAGAAAAATGAAGCTCAGAATGATTTGATGTTCTTAGGGTTGTGTGTGTTGTGGGTTTGCAGCTTTCTGATGTCTCTGTGTTTGTAAGTTAATGACTGAGTTAAAAGAATGATACTTTGAGGTCAGGAAACTGGAGAGACGAAGCTCTTCATCCCTGAAACTAGAAAGACTCGACTGAGCGCAGTAGATCCAAACTCTCCTTTTCTTAACATCTGAGACGACGGTCGTTAAACTCGTCCCCGCTGTGCGCAGAGTGAATGTGAAGGGACGGCTCGATGACTCCGGTCAGAGTTTAGAGCTCTGATGTTTGAGTCGTAACGTTTCAGACGTGACAGACATGCAGTTTGTTCTGCATTCAAGCTTTCATCTCGTGTGGTACCTGTCTGAGCCGACCAGGTGAGTTTCTGGTTTCTTTGCAGGTTTCGCCCAATAAAGACACTCGAGGTGAGTCGAGGACTCAGCAGGTGAACCGTTCTGAGCAGAAACTTTGGACGCTTGCGCTCATCCTCTCCTGTTTCTCCTGGTGGGATTCCTGCCTTCACCTGGATAGAAATGGAGAGGAGGGCACACTCAGAATGTCGCAGAAATCTTCAGGTCTAAGGATCTTCCACCTCCTGTAGACGTTCATATATATACTCGAGTTCAACCGAAATGAGTTTTAGAAGAAAATAGATCTTCACTCTGTGACCCTCACAAAGGTGCCTGGAGCTCAGGTAAAATCAGAACCTGTTTGAAGGCCACGCGTTCCCACACAGATGCCTACCTGTGATGGATCAGGTGAGCGAAAACTACCTGCTGAGTCAGTATGCATCAGAGCATCCAATAGAAACAGCTGATCAGATGAGCCTTCGTGAAATTCAACCTAAGTTTGAATATTTCATCAAACAGAAGCTGAAGCAGACAGATGTCTGCAGCCTGAGAAGATGAGCTGAAAGTTTGCTGCTTCCATTGTTTCCCCTGAAAACCTTTCAAAATCCCACCACTGCTAATTTTCCAGCTAATTTCCTGCAAATGTGCTTAGTAATTTCCAACAAGTCAGATGTAAATCTCAGGACGTCTCTCGCAGACCTACAGGGAAAAGTGTTGCTGTTATATTTTCAGGTTTCAAACTAGTAAATAAACTGGCTCTGTGATGAAAAACCAGCCGCCAGACAGACGCTTCGTCCCCCAGGCTTTCATTCTGATGAACACGGTGGAACAACCCACTGTTAGATCACTTGGGTCATATGCCAGTGCCCTGCTCTGTCTGATGTTTTAACATGCAGGGAATGTGCACATCACCTGTTCCAGCTGTTACCCTCAGGCAGCCGGTGCAGGACAATTCAAGCCAAAACTGGCTGTTGCATTAATAAATATACTCGAGGATAAACCACTGTGAAAATGCAAACTCTTAACTCTGCAATATTTTTCTAAGGACTAAATCACTGTGCAATAACCATATTTTCCCTTGTCCATTCTCATATACAGTCTTCTATATAATATATTTATCATTTATTTATTATACTTTTTTTCTCTTGTCACTTGCACTGAATTTGTTTGGATACAGTTTCTGTTGTTCTTAAAGCACAATGACAATAAAGATTCTGACTCTTTAAAAAAAAGTGTGATGATGTTACTTTTGTGAACAATGCATTTCATAAACGTCACACAGTCTGTGCAAGTGCAAACCGAAGAGCTGCCATAAGTTTGTTGTCACAGATACATCTGTAGGCGTGTCAGTTTGGGGAGGAGGGTATTTAACTCTTTCATGCATGAATTATGACAACCTCAATCAGGATTGTTTTCTTAAGTATTTTTATTCATCTTTAGGCATGAAAAAAGTATTTTTGAACTTCATTTTTTAAACATGCTTTTCAAAGAGTTTTGTTTTTTGTTACATGTCCACTTACAAATGTCCACTGGCTGACCAGTGGGTGGCGGGGTATGGAGTGACACGTCAATGTCCAATGTAGTGGTTTATGTGCAAGTATACTATCAACACGGACACAAGTGTTTGATCTATCAGTTTGCATACCAATTGGCTTCTGTGAAAATGGCTGATGTATAAGAATTTGCATGCCCAGGAAACCTCTAGAGTGCACGACAGATGTTAAGGAACATGCAGGCAGGGTTTACCCTTCCCAGCCTCCCAAACCCTGAGATGGATAAGCACAAAAGAATACATGGATGGATATGATATGATATATATAATATTGTATTGTACTGCTGTTGTGATGAAAACTGTGAGAAGAATAAAGCCCAGAGGAAGATGAGTTGAAGAACTGATGCCGAGGGGAGTGCTGCTGTGAGTGTGCAGTACAGGTTTCTGCCTGCGGGTGGCAGCAGCTCGTTGCGCGCTGTTTATGTCGGTGAGCAGCAGCAGAGGAAGAAGCAGCGGGAGGCCGTTGTGTTGCACGTAGCTAAAGCTCGGAGTTCCGTTTGTATTGGAATATCCGCAGAAAAAGCTGCAATTTATTCGCGGAGTTCCGCATTTCGGTCCTCCTCGTTCAGTGACCTCCGCAGCTCTCCCGCAGCGTGCCCGTGAGGAGCCGCAGGACCTCCGCGGAAGGAGATGTACCGCGGTCGGCCTCCTCCGAGAGGGGGCTACCCGCCTCCCTTTGAAGGCCGGGGTCCGCCTCCGCCGAGGCCCTACCCGGCCCCGGGCTACAGGGACGACCGGAGCCGGCCCAGACCTCCGTACCACTCCGGCTACCACGATCACGGACCCCCGGATCCCTACCGCCGCTCCCCGCCGCGCAGGAGGTACCCTTCCCCGGGCTCAGACAGCAACCGCGGCGGAGAGTTATGGACCGGAGGTCCGCCGAGAGAGGTGAGAGAGCCGGGGTCCGAACGGGCCGAACACACCGGACAGCCGGCAGGTTACCGCACACACACCGGTGTGGGTGGTCTGCGGGGACGGATACGGCCGAGAGGGAAAATGTCTGTTTCTCATTTGTAAAGAGTGTGTTTGGAATCAGATTTAGACCAAACCCCTTTTAAAAAACGACCAATTCATCGCGAGCTTAGCTTTCAGTTTATGTACCGCGTTTATTATTTAGTTTTATTGTTTAACGTGTCTGCCCGACGACTCGTTTCAACACAGCGAGCCTTGAAACGTTTAACTTGACATCCTCACCCTCATCATAAAAACACATACAGCTGACGGCAGTGATGGTGGTGTTCACATTAGTGTGAAGCAGTAATGATGCTTCGTGGAGGGAGATTCCACGGCTAGCACTGGTTTTGTAGCGAAATGTTCCCAGAGAGAGGGCAGGAGGGGGTGAAAGTCCCGTGGAGAGAGCTTGGACCACGAACGTCGGAGACTCAGCAGCTCAGCTGGCCTGGGAACACCTCGGGATCCTCCAGGAGGAACCTCAGAAAATACTAATACATTTTATTTAAAAGCACTTTTCAAGACTCCCAAGGACATTTAACAATAGAATAAGACAGTAGAACAATGACAAAATGTGAATATACAGATTTGAATGGAGGAGTTTTGAGTTGAGATTTAATCTGGGGGAGATAACCAGTGTTTCTTATATGTGGGGGCAGAGCACTCCACAGCCTGGGAGCAGAGCAGCTGAAAGCTCTGCTTCCCACGGTGCTGAGGTGGAAAGAAGGCACAGCAAGCTTAATAGAAGAAGAAGATCTGAAGAGGTAGTGCTTAACAGGTCAGAGAGGTCAGGAGGAGCCAGGTTATAAAGGGCCTTGAAGGTGAGCAGAAGAAAGGGCACCTGGAGCACGTATGCTAAACAGCAGGACTGTTGGGATGTTTGTTGGTAATAATGATGTTGGTAGACGTTTAGCTTGCAAGACAAGGAGCTTTGTAAAATCTTACTTTGGTTTAAGTGCTGTTTCAGCCATGAAGTTTATGTCCCAGTGACCTGTAAAATTCTAGTTTATTATAGTTCTTCAGAATAAGTGCCTGGAGATACTTCAAGAAGGACTTTGGCTGAATCCAGCTCTGCTCTCACCACACTTGGCGCTGTAAGCTCAGGAACGCTCAGGTTAGAAACTGTAGAGTAATCAGAATCTCAGAAACCTGAAAAAACCCCAAACAAAACACAAAGCTGCCATAAAACATCTCCATCAGGTCACGCTGATGGTGAAAAGGTTTGTTTTTTTCCATTACGTGCCACAGGCGCTGGACTGTCCTGTCGGTATTCTGCTCTGAGAGATGTAGTGCTGAATTTTTGTGTTTCTCGTACAGAGGTCTCTGTCTCCACGTGGCCCGATTCCCCTGGACCACAACCTCGTCATCACTGTTGGCAACGAGCTGAATGGACCTTCTGGCTCCGCCTCCTTATGCCATCTCGAAAGGTGATCATTAGGCAGATTTTGTGTTTATTGTGATGGTTGAAGGCAATACAGCTGGATAAAGAAACAGCAAATGTGGTCCTTTTATGTTAGTAGTGAAAAGGAAATGATTTCACCATTAAAAGATGTTCACAGTGAAACGTCTCATCTAAGTCATCTGATACTAGTACTTTTAAATACTCCAGGAACAACAAGTAAGGTTCAAGGTTCTTTATTTGTCACATGCATAGTTATACAAGTATAACCCACAGTGAAATGTAACCTGACACGCTCCTCCACATGTGCAAAAATGGGGGGGTGGGTAAGAACAACATATATATAGTATATACATTGGGTGAATGTGCAGTAGTAGCAGCAAGCAGGTGAATTCTGTACATTAATAAGAATAGACATCTGACTATTTTACAGAATAGACAATATAAACATATTTAAAATTAAAGGAATTTGAAATGTACATTGTGCCTGGGTTTAGAGTGTCTGGAAGAGAGTCCTGTCTCAGTCAAGTATAGATGATGTGAGAGGGCGGGTGTGTGTGTTTAGGGCCCGGATGGCTTGGGGATAGAAGCTCCTCTTGAGTCTCTCTGTCCTTGCCCGGATGATGCTGAATCTTCTACCAGATTGCAGAAGTTGGAACAGTTTGTTGCCAGAATGGGACGGGTCCTTCAGTATCTGCTCTAGTCCGGCATCTCCTGGTGTAGGTGTCCTGAAGCGGGGGGAGAGCAATCCTGCAGCAGCGTTCTGCTGTACGGATCACTCTCTGGAGAGCTTTTTGGTCCTTCACACAGCTGTTCCCAAATAGGGATGGGTATCGTTTAGGTTTTATCCGATACCGGTGCCAAACCGGTACTTTTAAAACGGTGCTCAAACCGGTGCTTAAAGAATGGAGAAAACAAACTTG